ACTAGAATTAGATTGGAATGTTTGTGGTCAACACTTGTGAATTTAAATACTTAAATATTTACATATTTAAAATACACAACTTGGTGTTATCTATCTTGCTACACACATATGTATGTATATAAAAATTTATGTACATATATACAATATGAAAACATCACCACTTACATATGTGGGTATATTATATGTATGTATGTATGTAATATATGTAAAATTATCACCACCAAGCTAAGGAACATAACTGTTATCCACAGATGTTTTCTTCCTGCCCCTTTGTAATGCCCCACTTCTGTCCTCACACAAAGAATCATCTGCTTTCTGTCAATATAGATTAATTTGCATTTGCTAGAATTTTACAGAGATGAAATTATATAGACGTACTTTTTTCTGGGGGATGGGGTGCAGGTTTGGCTCCTTCTGCTAAGCATAATTATTTTGAGGTTCATCCATGTTGCCTTGTGTATCAATTGTTCAATGTTTTTACTACTGAGTGGTATGGATTTGGATGAATAAACCACAAAGCATTTTCAATTAAGGAACACTTGTATCATTTCCAGTGTTGGACTATGACAAATAAAGCTACTGTGAATGTTAATGTACAAGTCTTTGTATAAGCATATGTTTAATTTCTCCTGAGTAACTACTCAGTATGGAGAGGATGAGTAATATAGTGGATATATGTTTAATTTTTTAGTAACTGGAAGATTGTTTGTTTAAGTGGCTGTATCATTTTAGATTCATACTACCAGATTGTGATAGTCCCAGTCAATGCACAGCCTCAGCTTATACTTTTAATGTCAGTCATTCTAATTAATAGGTGTACTGTGGTATGTTTCCATATGTTTATTTGCCATCATTGTAACAATGGTGATGAATTCAAATATTTGTTCATTTTATGGATTGTTTTCTTATTATTGAGTTTTGAGAATTTTTACATATTCTGAATACAAAACTTTGGTTGATACCTGATCTGCAAGTATGTTCTGAGATTTATCTTTTTAATCTCTTAACAATGTCTTAGGAGGAGCAAAAATTTTTAATTTTGATAGAACCTACAGTGTCAATTGGATTTTTTAATAAATCATGCTTTTTGAAATCCTTTCTTAAAATGTTTCTGTCTACTTGTTCTATCAGTGACTGAGAGAGTGGCATAGGTATCTCCAAAAATACTTGTGGATTTGACTACTTTTGCTTGCAAGTCTGTCAAATTTAGACATCATGGGGAATTTTGATTGCCTTAGAATATCTGAAGCTATCTTGACAAAGAACAAAAGTATATGATATAAGCTAAAATGTTTTGAGAAATACTATGACACGGATTAGTATTGGGGAAACCATCCCCACACCACCCGGTGGGTACCCTGAGTCCAGTGGAGACAGAGGAATTAGAAAGAGACAGAATAAGAATTTAAAAGGCGGATCCAGGGACCGGAGCATCCGAGGCTTGCTCAGGGCCCTGAGCTCTGGGCCGCCACCCAATTCGTTGGTTTACAAACTCTTTGTTCTTAGGGCAAGTGGGAGGGGTAGGAAAGGATGAGGAAAAGGATTAATCAGTGAAGGAGAACTTGTGAGTCATTCAATAAGATGTATAGCAGTGGCGGTTTCTGTGAATTTCCTCGAGCAAAGGCATGTGTCTAAACTACTTAACTTATTGGGACTGAAATGAGTGGCAGTGGGTTTCAGGAGAAGCCAAGATGTTTGATTATACTCCACTGCTGCAAGGGAGTGTTATCTCCCCGAGCAACCTGTGGCATGTCACGGAGCTGTTATGCTTTTGGGGCATAAAAACATGAAGACAATAAGGAGACTTTTCTCTTCAGAGGCCGCCCATGGCTTCCCATGGGTGTCTCACACAGGGGAGACCAACTCATCTGGCATCCCAGAAACTCTCTTTCCCACAGATTAGATAGTGTGTTACAGGTGGTCATAGAGGAGGAAAAAAAAAACAAAACAAAACAGAACAATAGAGAGTGCAAAAGTAGACCTAGGCATATTTGGTCATTTTGTGAATGAAGTGCGATAGGAGCCTATATTTTATTCTATTGCTAACAAGATTTTCCTTTCATTACTGTTAGCAATAGGAGAAATAAGTGATTTGAAAACTAGGCAGAAAGTATGCAAGATAAACCTGGGGCATACTATGGTGCTAGAAGTAAGGGAGGTTATCATAAAACAAACAAAAAACACCAAGTTGATGATTGATGCAAGTTTGTCAGAGGGATTCAGGAATCAATGAAAGGAACTCCGATGACAACGTTAGAACAATTTGAGCAGCAAATAAAGTATTACTGAATGATAACCCAATATATATAGTAATATCCATGAGTCCATGCTGACAACACACATAAATGAGTGGACAAATAAATAAATGAGAAAAGAGAAAAATCCCACAAAGAAGAATTCTGAATAATTTATGAAGACACTTCACCCTAAATGAAGTGAAACATAACAATCCACTCTTTCAGTGTAAGCCATGCATACTGACTTTCTTCCGGAGAGTACAGAAAATTTGAAAAAAGTGTAACTTTTTAGTGAAGAAACCAGACCAACACTACCTCAACCACAAAATCAAGGTTGGCATCAACAGTAATAAGTGTGTTTAAAGTTGATAGCACGTACCTTTGATATAATATGGTGAAAATGAAACTTCATAAAAACCTAAGTGTCCATTAGCAGACAAATGAATAAAGAAAATGTGGTATATATACACAATGAAGTACTATTCAGCCATAAAAAAGAATAAGATTTTGTCATTTGCAAAAACGTGGATGAAACTGGAGGTCATTATGTTAAGTGAAATAAGCCAGGCACAGACAGAGAAATTTCACATGTTCTCACTTACACATGGGAGCTAAAAGTTAAAACAATTGAACTCATGGAGATAGAGAGTAGAAGAATGGTTACCAGAGGCTGTGAAGGGTAGTAGGTGGGGTGGGGGGGGGGCGAGGGCGGGAAACTGGGGAGGGTTAGTGCGTACACAAAATAGAAAGTATGGAAAAGACCTGGTATTTGCTAGCACAATAGGGTGACTATAGTCAAAAATAATTTAATTGCATATTTAAAAATAACTAAAAGGGTACAATTGGATTATAACACAAAGGATAAATGTTTGAGGTGACAGATAATCCATTTTCTCTGATGTGATTATTATGTATTGCATGCCTGTTTCAAAATATCTCATGCAACCCATAAATATATACACCTATTATGTATCCACAAAATTTAAAACTTCAAATTAAAAAAAAATAAGGAGTGATGTCTTACAACGACCCAGGGTGGTTCATTAACTACTTCTGCTTACTATTCTATTTTTGTGCCTTGATTATGGTACCCTGAATATGACATGCTTTTTCCCTCTTCCTTTATAAAGCTACTGCCTTTTAATTAGTCAATATTTTGTATATGAGCTCAAGCCATATTCATTCAATTGTCTACCCAACAGTGCTTTTTGGTTTGTCCTCTTTTAGCCTATTGGTATATATGACAGTCTTTTGGACAGAGTGCTAGACTGGGAATCATGATTAAGACAAGAGTTATAATTGTAGGCATTTTCCCTTACTTTACATAAATGATGAAAATTAAGTGCAATGGGTTCTCGAGAACAAATCTCTGACTGCATTGAATGAATGGATAATGAAATGTAGGAATGATAAAGACATATTGTACTAGTTGTTCCTATATTAGGAAATTATAGTGAACACTGAAACTTGTTACATTAGTTGAATAACATGCAACAGCATCAAAAATATTGATCTGACAATAACGAGTAGGTAATTTAAATTGGGGAGAGACACAGGCAATTGAGTAATTAGAATATCATAGATATTCACAGTTGAAGAGTGTTAAATGCCCAGTAACAGAAAAGTAATAACATGAGGGCAGAGAAGAGGTTTTTTTAAAGGAAAAAATGACATAAAATGGCAACTATTTATAAATTATGGTACCTAAGAGTGTGAACCACATGGAAGCAATGCAACTTAGTGGAATTTTCAGCTGCCCCAGTGATCTGCCTCATAAGCAGCCACAGTGTTATTGGTATGAAGATAAGACAATATGTATGCTACTTTTTTATAAATTGTTGATATCAAGTATAATAATATAAGTATCTATAATGCATATCTCTATAATAAGACTAGAATAATTTTCTGGTTTTGCTGTTTTTCATTGATCATTATAAATTTGAAAGATTTTGGTTATGTTCATTATAATAAATGAAATAAAAGTGAAACTATCATGAAGCTATCCAGAGGACAGTGACGCAATCACATAGGAAACATGTCATAGAGAATGGGGGAAGCTTGATTTGCAGACGGAAATTCTCTGGAGTTTAGACCTACTCACAATTACCTGGACCGAGTATCACTTTGAATAATGTCAAAAGTCCTTGAGCCAACCTTTCCAGTCTCAATGTCGTATTATGGTTGGAACCCTGAGCAGTCACTCAAATAAGTGTTTAATTTTTTTCATCTTTAAAAGCATAATGATACTAAGGCTTTCCCTGAAGTAATACTGTAAATGTTAAATAGAGTGACCCATGTAAAGTGCTAGGTGCTTGATATTTCAGAAACTTTCAATAATATATGTTGTTACTATCATTCTCATTACCGCCATCATTATCACTGTGGTCGTTGTTGAGGTTGTTGTCTATATTATAATTAAAAGATAAAACTAGGAGCCAAGAGTGGTGGCTCAAACCTGTAATCCCAACACTTTGGGAGGCCAAGGCAGGCAGATCACTGAATGTCAGGAGTTCGAGATCAGCCTAGCCAATATGGTGAAACCTCATCTCTACCAAAAATTTAAAAATTAGCCAGGCATGGTGGCACACACCTGTAATCTCAGCTACTCAGGAGGCTGAGGCAAAAGAATTTCTTGAACTTGGGAGGCAGAGGCTGCATTGAGCCATGAGCCAAAATCGAACCACTGCACTCTAGCCTGGGCAACAGAACTAGACTCCATCTCAATAACAATAATAATAAATAAAACTAGGGATACTTTAAATCTCAAAAGTATTTTGATTTTATTCTTAGCATTTCTCTACATATACTCATTGGAATATAGGTTCAATGGAAGTAGACTGGAGGAATATTTTGGAGATGTGTTAAATAAAAGAGCATCACTGAATTTTCATAAATCTCAACAATACATCTAATAAGTTAGATATCTAATCAAACCAAAGACCTATCTTGATATGAAAACATGACATTGATTCTATTCATTAACATGCTGTCTGATGCAGAATTTTCTTCATGGAAACTTTGACATCTTTATTCCTCAGGCTGTAGATCAGGGGGTTCAGCATGGGCACAATGGTAGTATAAAACACAGAGGACACTTTCTCCTGGTCCATGGAGCTGACAGATGATGGCTGCAGGTACATGAATGCTGCAGATCCAAAGAAGACAGCAACAACCGAGATGTGGGAGCTGCAAGTGCTGAAGGCTTTGGACCTGCCCTCAGTGGAGCGAATGCGGAGGATGCTGGCAATGATAAAGACGTAAGAAGCAAGGATGGTTAGGGCAGGCATCAGGATGTTAAGTGCACTCAAGACCAGAACCAGTAATTCATTGATGTAGGTGCTGGAGCAGGAGAGCTCCAAGAGAGGGAAGAGATCACAAAAATAGTGGTTAATCACATTAGTCTTGCACAAAAAGAGTCTTAACATAAAGCCAGTGTGAATTGTAGATCCAAGGATGCCTAAAATGTAAACTCCTACTGTGAGCCGGAAGCAGAGGTGATAGGACATGATGACACTGTACAGCAAGGGGCTACAGATGGCCACATAGCGGTCATACGCCATTACAGCCAACATGTGACACTCTGCGATAGCAAAAATACTGAAGAAGTAGAGCTGAGCCATGCATTCAGGGTGGGAGATGATGTTTTTCTCTGTCACAAAGTTCACCAGCATCTTAGGGGTAATGACAGTGGAATGGCAGAGATCAATGAAGGACAGACCACTGAGGAAATAGTACATGGGGGTGTGCAGGTTAGAACTGAGCCCAATCAGTGTGATCATGCCCAGGTTGCCCACCACTGTGACCACATAGATTCCTAAGAACAGGAGGAAGAGGGGCAGCTGGAGCTCTGGCTGTTCTGAGATCCCAGCCAGGATGAACTCAGTCACTGAGGAATGGTTTCCAGGGTCCATGATCTTGTCAACAGTTTCTAAATTTTGGAAAGAGAAATTGAATGTGTTTGTGTGTGAGAGAGAAATTATTTGTAGATCATTACATATTCTATACCTTATCAGAGGAGAAACATAATGCAGTGGTCTCTGGAGCCTCTCTTGCTACTATGTAACAGACAATAGTCTGGTTGACCAGAGGAGGAACTGCAGACATCAAAAACATTAAAGTTTAGTTCATAACCTTTTAAGAGAAAATGCCATTTTTTGACCTCAATAAGAAAGCAAGCTACTAATGTTATTTCAGAGAATTCTTTTCTTTCCTACCATATTCTCTAACATATAAATATGTCATGCACATCAAATAGCATAGCGATCAGATTTTCATTTTACTCAGATTAGGAAAGAGAACCAAAATACCAAAACAGTTTAAGGGGAAGAAAGGATATTTTTGTTTTTAAACCATTTTACTGAAGTAGAATTGATACATAACCACATATTTAAATGTGTATAATTCGATGAGTTTGGACATATGTAAACATCCATGATGCCATCACCACAATTGAGGTAATTGACATATTCATTACTTCCCCAAGTATTCTGTGTCCATTTATGTTGGTTGTTTTTGTAGTAAGAATACTTAAGATGAGATGTACCCTCTTAACAAATTTTGAAATCCATTGTGTTAACTATATGCGCTATGTTATATGGCAGATCTTTAGAACATATTCATCTAGAATAACTGAAAATTTATACTCAGTGAACAACTCCCGGCTTCCCTCTCCTCTTAGCTCCTGGAAACTGCCATTGTATTCTCTGCTTCTATGAGTTAGACTATTATAGATACCTCATATAACTAGAGATATGCAGCATTTGTCCTGCTGTGACTGGTTTATTTCACTTAGCATAATGTCCTCCAGGTTTATCCATGTTGTTGCAAATGGCAGAATTTCCATTAGTGGAGGGTGGGAGGGAACTGCTTTGAGTTATTATAAAAGAAGGCAGTGATGACTTGGAACCAGAAGAAAATTGCTAAAGTATACCCAGAATTTTTATTTCATTAGAATTTTTACTATATTAATAGAGTAAAAGAATGGTATATCCTAATTTATCTTAATTTTAGTATAGTATTTGCTTAACCTCTTGAAATAGTCTATGGACATGATATAGTTATATGTGCTAGGTGAATATACACAATAATATGTCATAGCTATGTGAAATTAGGGAGCATCTAAAGATTAATCATAAATTTAGAAATCTTCAGTTATTATTTCATAAGACTTTATATTTAGTCTCATCTTGAAAAAGCATTCTATCAATAACATGGATGATGCCGTACAATAAATTATCATAAAATGTGTAAATTATATTAATGTAGAAAATATTAACAAATACTTATATCATAATGATTCAAGAAGATATTATTAGGCTATTAATATGATCTGATATTGACAAGAAGAACATAACAGTGATAAGCAAATGTTTTCTGTGGCCTTTCAGGATAGAGAGATGAGTAATAGAATCCCTGCTCTTTGGAATGTTTCTATCTAGAAAGGGGTGAGAAGGCAGACTAGACAAGGTAATAAATATCATGATTGCACAGGTCCTACAAGAACCCAGTGATTATGGCACTAGTTCTGAGTAGGGCTCAATGAAGACTTTTAAGAGAAACCTCAGTGGAAGGGTAAGAAGGAATAAGCTAGGTCTGCATAAACTTCAAAATTGAGAAGCATTGGACTACCAGTTCTTCATGTTCAAAAGATCTGGATCCAGAGAAAAACACCAAGAATGTCCATAAATCCCAAAGAATTAATTAAAAGGAACATATTGTTCAAAATGAGAGAAGTGATGGCCACACAAGATAAATTGCATCTGGAGAATTATACTTAATTCTGGGGTCTAAAATGTATGATGGTGATTCGTAAATTATAATTATGCAAGAAAATTAAAAATTTAGATCAAAATTATTTACACCTAATATCTACATGATTAGTAACACAAATTAGGATTAGACTTATTTTATGTTACCTCAGAAGGCAGAGTTACAGTCTGAGATACCTTTTGTTTCAACATCAAAATCTCTCTAGCCATTAAACATGTCTAAAAGTAGTATAGGTTGAATCACAAAAAAGATAATTTTCTGTCTTCAGATGTGTTACAGCAAAAGATAAGTAATCATTTTCGGGTAGCTTTAGAAAATTCCTGTAATGTTGTGAGGAGGTTAGACTTCGTGAATGTCCATCAACATTCTGAGATTGACAGGTTCTAAAACATGGAATGTAGATACTCACCCTTTCGCCATCTGGAAACCTTGGTCGTGGTTATATGTAAGCTTTAGACCAAGTACCCTCTATGGAAAATATTATAGTTTTTGATAATGTCCATGATGGCAGTTCAAAATAGACTCCTGGGCTCTTTGACTTAGGAGGTCAGAATTCAAAGTGCAAATCTCAATTTCTGAGTAGCTCACATAGAGTGTATGAATCAAAAGCCATGATTCCCTCTTGCAGCTTCTTTGTGATGCTAGTCAAGGCACTTGCCAAAGTGACCTTATTTTTTTCTAGGGTTCTGATATATAAGAGGTGTTGTCAAAAACATATAAACTCCCTCCAGATTTCCTCTCACCAAGGATGAGCTACTTGAATATAAGAGCAATTAAAATTTGCTTTTTTCATCCTTTGTATGACACTCTCGTTAGCTCCCTTGTGAGGAGTCTTTTCTTAGTGTTGAAATAGGAGCAGCCATTAGGTAAAGAGCTAGAAATTAAAGCCTAATATATATGGTTCTAGGAGGTCCTCATGAAAACAGCTTTCTATCTGAGTATGATTTTTGAAATATTTGAAACCTTTTCCATTTATTTAAGATTTGGAAAAATAATTACATATAATTATTAGTGGAAGCTGCTCTTTATAGTTTTCAAGAGACTTTATTTTATGTGCAGACATCATGTGTCTATAATGATAATAGCTAGGATTTATTGAACACTTCCTAAGTGCCACACATTATTCTTACCTCGTTACATTTACTAACATGTTTAATTCCCACAACAGCTCTATGTAGAAGATAATAGGTTGAGTCAGGTAGCAGTTTCATATGACTCAACCTATTATGCCCATTTAAAAAGAAAGGAGTGCAGAAAGCTTGAGCAATTGGTCCAAACTTACCTAGATAATAAGTTTAGTTTGCTCATAAAATTATTATATTTAGAATATTACATATGTTTTTTAAAATTCAATTTTTTTATTCAACAGACATGAGATATACAATGTTATACATTAAGATTTACACTCAGGGGCCAGACACGGTGGCTCACATCTGTAATCCCAGCACTTTGGGAGACTGAGGTAGGTGGATCACGAGGTCAGGAGTTCGAGACCAGCCTGGCCAGTGTGGTGAAACCCCATCTCTACTAAAAATACAAAAATTAACTGGGTATGGTGGCATGTGCCTGTAGTCCCAGCTGCTTGGGACACTAAGGCAGGAGACTTCTTGAACCCGGGAGGCAGAGGTTGCAGCGAGCTGAGATCATGCCACTACACTCCAGCCTGGGCGACACAGCAAGGCTCTGTCTCAAAAAAAAAAAAAAAAAAAAAAAGACTTATACTCAGAAATTCAAACTGTATGTTTTTCAATTTGTTTACAATTGAACTTAAAGCATATATAGTAAACAGTTTTATAGGGCTTACTGTGCATCAAATAATGTTTAAGCACTCTTCTGCTTTATCCTTGAATATTTACCTCATTTTATAGATGAGGATACTAAAGCACAGAAATTTGCTTGAAGAAACTATAAATAACAAAAAGACAACAGGCATAAACCAATATCATGCCTAGCAAACTGGGACATGTGATTACCACACTTATGAATATGGTAGCCACTAGTCCTGTGCCATTCAAAATTTAACTAAATTAAAGCACATTAAAAATGCACGTTATCTGACACATCGGTAGATTTCAACTACTTAATATATTCCTAATGTCCACAGTATTGAAAAATGCAGTATACATAGAACATTACCATCATGGCCAAAAGTTTCATTGGATAATATTGGTTCAGCAATATTATCACAAATCCTGCTCTTTTTCTTCTTCCACGATATTTTTTTGCAGAGCTGACTTTTATTATCTGTTCTAAAATTTAATTTAATGTTTCTTCACTCACTGCATGTTTTTTTCCCTCACATCTTTCCCAATTTTGAGACAGATATTCCTCTTAAGTGCTGTCAAAATCCTGCGTGTTCATATATTGTTGCAATCATCACCTTCAGGGTAGGGCAAATGCCTTGTTGGACTTGTAAATTCAACTCCTGTCACTATACAAAACATAGAATAGAAAATAAATACTCCTGGAATTAACACATAAATCAATAAATGCTACCAGTAGTGTCAAAATGTTGTGGGGTTTCTGTAGCTTTGTTAATACATAGTTTGATTATTTACTATTTAATATTAGTTTGCTTATTCAGTAGATACAAAATGGTATCATCACATCACATTGTATACTATATTTTTCAAAATGAATAGTCACATTAAGGATCTGTATTTATTAGTTCAGTTTTCTTTTGCATTAATTGTAATTTATTTTATTATATGTTTGAAATGATCATGTTGATATGTTTCTACATGTTCGATTCAATTTTAAACCTACATGTAATTTTGTACACTATTGCTTGAAAATTTTTATATTTTGGAATATGTTTTATATTTTTGAAGTATAAATGAGCTCTTCTCCATTATTTGATAATGTATGTATAGTTTATCTTCTTTTAATTGAGGCCCTTCAGCATATATGAAGTATAACATGTAGAAATCAGAAGCACAGCCTAGAAAGTGCAATGTAATGTAAGGTGAAATATTACGGTATTTATCATCTAAAATTAGAATACAGAGGAAGCATAGCCTATGTCTTCCCACCTGTATCAGGTCAGACTTTTTGCAGGAGAATTTCAATAGATTTTAAAAAACAATCAGTTGCATCGCAGAGAGTGGAAACAGCCTATCCAAATGTATCAAAGTTTGATATAGTTAGTTTTGGAAAAATGACAAATAATTTAG